GTGTTGTGTTGCTCAGACAACATGAGTAAATGCAGTAAAAGCGGACCTTCTTTTTAGCTCACGCTTTGGGATATGAGAAAAGCACAGAAAATAGGCATCAAAACGCTTGTCTGAGTTTCAGGCCAGGTGGGGTGACTTCCTCAGACTTGCACTGTTACCCGAACTGATGCTTGTCTTGTACGTTACATCCAGTGGCACTGTGTTTGAATGTTGTGGCAAATGTAAATCACGTCAACAAGGTTTATGTACTGCTAAGAGGCTAGAACTAATGTTAAATCCTGTATTTCTATGCACAAACTTTATTAGCATAACTGTGTGCTCTTAGTTTAGTGAAGCACAGCCTATAGTTTGAATCCAGAGAGATTGAACAGAAAAGGTATTTCTTGAGAGGTGTGATATCCTTTGGCAAACGTAGGAGTGACCAGTAGTTATGTGCAAGAAAGCTTTTATCACGTGCCTTGACTCTGAGAGAATATGTTTAGAGGGCAAAGATTAACTTCAAGTTGATGGGCTCAAGAGTATAAGGCTCACTGTTTGGAAGGCTTTTGTTAAATGAACTTTATCTCACTTTTACATAAAAACATTATTGAATTTACTTTGAAGCAACTGTTCATATTGGTGTGAACGTTCATATTTGTGCTTTTATTTCACTTCTAGGTCTGCTGTAGAAGGACTTATAAACCTTTTGGTTTTGTTGCATGTCCTTATTTTGATTCCCACTCTGTATGTTAGCAAGCCAACTTTCCAGTTATGCTCATTATAGGCTTGTTAAAATTATCTAAATGTGACTTAATTCTGTGACAACTGCTCTGCTAGTATAGCATTTTTAAGTTGTGTAAAAGGTTGTTTGCAGGCAGTTTAGAAAAGTTGGTTTAAATTGTAGTGGTTCTGATAAGTCAGTTGTCCCTAAAATCCAGTCTGTTTTGGACAGATAGAGTTTTAACACCTAAATTACTGAAAAGTTATATGATGTTACAGAACTGTTATGAAAAAAAACCCCACAATCACCACTGTAAATATCAAATAAAAAAATTAGTCTGAATCTTGAGTAAGGTGTCTGGTCTGTCATCAGCTGTGCACAATTGGGTTGATTCAGAAAGTTCTCTAGATCTATTTTCAACCAGAAAACTAATGGTTAAGGAGTATTATCTCCTTCAAGTTAAAATCAGCTCAGATGTGAGCTGCATGATTAGTAAACCACAGCTGTAACTGAGCACATAAATGCATATTTGAACTTTGAGCTGTTATGTATCTGGTCTGTACTGGATGTGAAATGGGCATCTTAAGTCATGTTCATCTTGAGACAACTTCTTGTTCTTTGTTTGGGCTGGATGGACTTAAAGGCTTGCTGTTTTTACAGACACCATAGGTAGCTTTGACAAATACCTAATGCAAACATTCCCACTAAGCTACAGCACTAAATTTCATGTTAGTTTACAGGCAGGCTAGCAATCTCAATGTGCTGAAGGAAGGTATGAAGATTGAGGCAGCTCATGTGAAGAGAAAGCACCTCCACCATTTTTTGCCTGCAGAAACCTTACAGAAAAGAAAGAAGGTATAATAAAAATTTGGCTCTTCTGGCAATATTTTTTTTGCTTTAATTACTTGAAGACTTAATTTTTTTTGTTGTTGTTGTTTCAGCAAAGCATGCCAGGTATTAGTCAAAATGCTAGTGGGCTTCAGTGCAAAAGGACTTTTTCAGATGGAAGCTGTTTGGACAGTTCCAGAGACATGGACTCCAGAACACCGTATAATTCCTCTTCATTAAATAAGATTTCTAAATTGGACGCTTGTACAGCAGAGATAGAAAGGTTAGCACCATAACCTTAAAACTGTGAAGAAGCTGCTTTTTAAGTGACTCACAATGTGAATGAGGTCTAGGATTTCTTGCTTGAATCTGTATTGTTCATAAGTATGTGGAGGGTTCTAATGGCTTTAGGGACAAAGCTGGTATCTCCTTTGGGCACATGGGGGGAGACAGGTTAAAGAAATCCTTGAAAAAATTCATTTAATGTACATGAACAGATAGGAAGGAATAAGAACTTGATACCAGAGAAATTATTTGGTCTTAAATATAGATCCCCTTAGGTTAGTGTGTAACTTGAATCAGGAGTATTTTATATGTACATAACTTCTAACAAAAAGTATGGTTAATGCCAAATAGTATTATGTTCTAATGAAGTGGTGATCTTGATCACAGAAACACTAGAGCTGCTGCTGACTTAGTGCAGCAGTATGAGAACTTCAGCAGTAAAAGTGTCTGTCACTTGCTGGGAAGTCTGTTTGTTTATAAGCTACTTCAGCACAGAGGGAATATGTAATCTTGAGACTAATAGCCCAATACTACCAAATGCATAATGCTTGCTGTGTTCAGTCTGTTTGGTACTGTAGGAGTAGCATTAAAAAAAAAACAAAAACAACTGGATGCATGTATGGGTAGAGCAAATACATTCATTGTATCCAGCATTCTGTACTGCTTTTTCTAAGCTGGAAAACAGTACAAGTACATAGAGACTCACTAAAGACAATGCTTAAGTTTGAATTTGCAGTCTGAAGTTCAGCAAAATGAACATCTCGTGCTAGATTGCCAGTGAGTTTGTTGTTTAGTAGAGCTGTGACAATGGACTAAGAAGATAAACATTTGTCTTGCATGGACTTTCTGGAAATGAAATGTATAGTATTTTACAAACTAGCATTTTATAACTCTAGCATCTGACTTTTACAGAAATGCTGTGTATTGGAAATCTAATGGTGTTAACAATAGAGAGAAGATACCTTGTGTAGCTGTGTCATCAGTGTCTAAGGGACTCCCCATTCCTGTTATCGATTCAAGTATGTATTGAAGTAGTGGGTGGAATGCAGTCTTTAATTTCATGGCTGAACTCTAAAAGCTTGGTGTCTCCTGCAGAAATGGAGGCTACAATTGCAATAAGAACATTGGGACCTCCAGTTGGTTGCAACATTCCAGGACATAACACAATTTCTCAGCTCAGAGCACGTTTTGTCCAAGGACAGCATGAATTAAGTGGGACTCCAATTACAGATCCTAAGAATGCTGCACCTAAACGACCTTATTCAGTGACCACTAAAGGACCTCATTCACCTACATCAGAAGAATGCCCCAAAAAAACAGTAGACAGAGAAAAGGTAAGGAAGGAGGGGCTAGGCCATGGAGGGTTTGAAGTAGAATTAATTATTGATGTACAATGAATGACATAACTGAGAAGAAATGCATATATACATCCCCAGTGGATTCAGGAATCTAAATTTAAGCATAATGATAGTTTTACTAGGATGTAGATGTGAGAAATTGTCTTGAATATACTGTATAGCTATAGAACTTTTTTTCCCCACGATCTGGCACTAGTGACTGTTTCTGGTCTGGTGGCAGGGTCTCTAAATACTACTGTACTTGTATATTACTGCACTGACCAATTGCTGAATGAACTGGCTTATTTGGAAGCAGTTCTTAATTCAGAAAAAAATTATCTCAAAATAAAGAGGATATAAATCTTACACATGTAAAAGTATGAGCTAACCTTGTTCTGGCAGATGATTTTTGAATGCCTATTGATAGTTTTGCTGCTTTAGAAATCAGCAGCCTACTTAATAGGTTGTCCACTGCTGAAATGACAGTGTGGAGTTGCTTCTTAAATCTTGTTTTTGTGGAAGCTTTAGATTAATGCTTGACTTATTTTATTGCTATATATAAATCTCCTTAAATAGCTGTTCTTGTGGCTTGACCTCTGATTTGAGGCAGAGGCAAAGAACAACTAGAAAAAACCCTCAATTTTGACACTTGTAAAGAATCAACTTGCAGAACTGTTATCTACGATTGAATATTTCAAGTACAGATTTCAAGGTTTGAGTAGTAAGACTTTTTGCGAGGCTTGAGATTCTTGTGTGGTAATGGTAATCTTGTCTAAATGTTGTTTTAAGAATGGCCACTAATAGATTTAATGTGTTGACTGGAAGCTGTACTCAAATATGAAGGTAATTTTAGTATAGCAATTATTTTGAGTCTGTTTTCTGTTCTTCTAGTTAACTGGCCAGGATTCAGCATTCAAAGATGGTGGCAATCCAGAAGATGTCAGCAGCAGATCTACAGGCAATGTAATTTTGAAGGGGTTTTACTCAGTGGACTAACTGAAAAGTTGAATGGACTGTTCTAGTGCCTAGACTACCTCACATAAATATTCTACATGTTTACTGATGTAAACAAAAACATGCTCTTTAGTTTAACTTATTTCAATCTTCATTTCCCAAATGTTACACCTGTATGACCTATCTTTTAAATGTTACTACTGGATGATTTAGTAGTATCTAGTTTCTTTCCATGCTTGAAATAATAATTATTTTTTTTAACCACTCAATTCAGTGATATAAACTGAAACTACTATAAAGACTAAAGCATTTGGCCTCTCAAAGAGAGGATAAAGAGCTTTATATTTAGTGTAGCTTGCTACTGAAGCATAAACTCTTGAGGGCACACCCTTAAAACAAGATGTGGTCTTGTTGGTAGAGTGAAGGTTGAAATAACTGAAAGACTGTTATGTGTGCTTATAGGGCTTAAAAAAAAGAGTTGGAGGTTGTCAGTGCATGTATGTATTTTCAAAGTATCTAGCTGCTAGACCTGGCTGTCTCTCCAGTCATGAATTTGACAATACTGCCTAATAAATCCCTTCTGGCTTTTTTAGGGTGTCTTTGGAGGAAAACCCATGCTGATTCCAGTTATCAACTCAAGATCACAGGTATTTCTTATTGTGCCTTTGTGTTCATAGGTAAAGCAAAACTAGAATTTTTATTTTATGTGCCAAGACTTATGTACTGTTAATCCCTGTGACCTTGGTGATTCTAAGTAGTTGGTAAGCTTTTGCCTATCATGCTTCCACCAAATTGAATAGCTGAACAATGACCTTCCAGGTTTATTCACAAAAGTGAGGCCAAAGTTTCCAAGTTATTGAACTGGAAAAACCATGTTTCCATGCGCTCATACTGACACAGTTTGTTTCCTGATCTGCTTTTTTTTTATTAAGCAAAAAGATCTGTACTCCTTGCAGAACTTCCATAAGGTGATCTGAACTCTTACTGTCTTAAATACTTGTATACAGATTTTTGTGACAAGACTTGGAAGCTCTGAAGTGTATTAAGTGGCTTTAACTCTTCTGTCTCATGTAAAATGTTGTGAAATTGAGGGTTATAAGACTGGAAGTAATCTGGACAGTAGAGACACTGTTTTCCTGATCCATGGATCTGAGAAGAATGGTAGCTTCCTCTATTATGCTGTCAAGCAATTTGCAATTTATTTCCCACCCTCAGGAATATAATTATCTCAACTGATGCCAGGAAAGAAGTGTGCGGAGGGGAAAATACTCTTCCTCTGTAAACTGGTGTTAACTAAACAAGGGGTGTGGTGAAAAAAAGTCCTTCTCTGCAAATATTTGGGTTTGGGCTATGCTGTTTTGGTACTTAAAGAATGTTGTTATATTCAGCTAGGAAAGGGTTTATCTGCTGCTACTTCTGAATTGATGAATTTAAAACTTTCCTTTTTTTTTTTTTTTTGTGGCATCTTTTTGTGTGTTGTAGAGGCTTTCCAGCAAAGAACTACCAGATTCTTCATCTCCTGTTCCAACAAATAGTATTCGTATTATTAAAAGATCCATCAAACTTACACTTAATGGGTAACCAGTATCTCTTCAGGTAAAGATGATAATCGCTTGTTTAGTGGTCCATATTATCAACATGTATTGTTACTAACAAAGTATGGAAGATTACTCTTGCATACTGCAATTGGCCAGTTAAAATCGTGGCCTTATTTTATGATATTGTTTGATGCTTGCTTCCTTTTGAACTGTTCTTTGCATATTCTTGTAACAGTTATCTTAGTCTTTTTAAAAGTCTTAACTGTCACTAGCTGAAACAGCTTTTGAAAAAGCCACAAAAAACAGCCTGCCCTGTGACTTGGATTCAGAATGTATGTAAACAGGTTAAGTAGTTACTGCAACCACGTTGTGGTTTCAAGTGTGTATGAACGTGCTTGTATTCATTTGTGCTTTCCTAGTGCATGTGCATATATTGTTCTTGTCTTAAACTATTTTCCCGTTTGGCACATACACTCCTGGTCATCTATCACAATGGTGCTCAGCTTCCTCAGCTAGCAGCTGTCCCCTGCCTAACACGGCCACGCGCTACACAAGTATTGCCTCCCATGGAGGCCCATAAATAATTGACGTATTGAAGACAATGCAGCAGAGGATGCTACCAAGGTATGGAGATGATAGACGTGTCCCATGCCGTTGTATCTGATTTTTGTCTTGAGACTGCTCCAGCATGAGACTTGAGGGCTTTTTTGTTGTCGCTGGGTAGGAAAGCTAAACTCAGAACACACAGCTGAAGATGTACTTAAACATTGCAATAGCCAAGGCTGTTGTGACACTGCTACCCACCTGCAAGGTACAGTCTTGAAAGCAATTGGCATGCAGAAAGTGGTTTCAGATAAACCCTGAAAGCTGTTCTAAATGGTTACATGAAAACTTGTAGTAGTCTGAAGGTCCGGTTCTGTAAACTGATAACACTGCTTACCCAGTTAAGTGCATTAGGGTTTTTTGAGGGGTGGGGAGAAGTACTGGTCATATGAAACAAACGTTATGCTATCTCTCTATTGTAATTTCTTTATAACTTGGTGGTTTTGTAAATGAAGTTGTATGTTTTTCAGAGTATTTTTGTATGTACTGTAAAATACTGTCTTCCAAAGAGAAATTTAAAATCTTCAGTCTTTTTTTTAATGCACATGGGATCTGCTTAAAAAACCCCAAACAACTAAACCAAATGTAAGGCAGGGGGGCAGTGCCACAGAAAATGTGTTCTACAAAATGATAATGTCACGGTACAGTAAATTTGAAGATACTAGGAACACTGCTTTCCTGCTTCTAGTATTTCCAGGTTTTGAATTAACACCTTCTGAATAGTGCGGTTTGCAAACTGCGTTGACATTTAAGTCCCAGTTTGCTGTGCAGACAACAGATACCCCTGAATTCTTTTAAAAATAGTTTCTTGGCTTAAACAGGAATTCTGAGCTCTGATCATCTTAAGCATCCACCTAAAAACCCTAGTGACAACACTGAAGAGGCATGTAGCTATCTTGTAAGGTCTTTCTCTAGCGTTCCCCCTACTGCTAGTATTCCAAATTTGTGGAGAAAGCGTGACTATGACAATATACTTACTTTTTTTCCTTATTACCTCTGGTTTCCAGTTTGCTTTAAGTGCAATTTATCTCTTAAAAAATTTGTCTTAGTAGGCTTGAGAGGTCTTATTCTTCCTTCTCCACTCCAAGCACCCCAAAACTTAGGCTGCAAGGCTTAGGTTTACTCACAGGTTAAAATTAAGGAACAGAACCCATGTTACTTAAGTGGCTTTTAGCAGAGCTACACCTTGAGTTTATAAAATGGTTACCTTGGTTTTGTGACCTGTATTAAAACCACGGTATTTAAATATTGTCAATTCTGTGTACTAGTTACAGTATGTATACAGCTTCAGCACCTGTGTAAATAAAATTCCATCATGAATTTGAAGGAAATAAAGCTGAAGTAGGTGATAAGATAAACAGCAAAGCAAATTTGAAAAGTGCTTTGTAATAGTCTACAACCCTGTAATATTATCATGCTTTTAAACAAATTCTTCCACCTGAGTATTCCAAGACTGTTAAAGGCTGTTTTGCCCTTAACCTCTAGGTCAGCATGTGCATTTATGCAACTAGTCTCAAACTAACCTAGCTAATTGATATCAAAGTATATGCCTTTACATGGATTTATTTTTTTTTTATTCTTGCTTTGCAGTTATATTCTAATTGCTTTTACTCTCTCCTCCCCTCCCCCCTCTTTTAGGGTGTTAAGAAGAAGTTTAGGAAGAAGTTAGGTTACTAGTTTCTCAGACTTGATCCAGCATAGGTGAGATTACATGCTTTATTTTAACATACCCTGACTCAACGCTTGGCCCAGTGCAGAGTGACATCACTGTTCTGGAATTTCCCTGGATATTGCAGAAGTTCGATACTGCCCCAGGACTATGCAGATTAGATTACAGCTGTTTTGAATAAAGTTCAAACTGCAACAATTCAACTTAAATGTTTTCCTTTGTTTATGGAGCAAGTCCTCTGTTCAAGTGATTTGAAAGGAAACTTACTCATGCATAAAGACTCAGTGAGGGAGGCTCTTTGATACGAGACTTCCTGCAAACTTTGCTGTTTTCTGTCTGCTTTCTTAGCTGGTTGCTGTGTGTGTGGCTTGGAGGTCCAGATGGAAGGGGTGAGGGATGCATGATCAATATCCTTAAAGAGGAGCAGCTCTGAATTGAAATTGTGCATGGTTAGTAACTTTGAGCAAGAAATTCCATTGCAGGAATTAATGTCTCCTGCAGTTTTACTTGTTGGGTATAAGCAAAGGAATGGTTAATGTGAAGTCACCTCCACTTCTGCTGTTCCAATGGATGTCCCTGTAGAAACTAAGAGAGAAAGTAATAGAATACTTTTTGTTTTAATGAGTAAAAAGCGAAGGGCAAAAAAAAAAAAAAAGTATCTTGAAATGGTTAATCTTGACTTTGACTTCAGGAGGGAAGAGGCTTATTAATACTGCCTTTATGTAATACTTAGTGACATAAACTGTTTAGCCAAAAAACACAAGTGAAAACTCCTAGCTGTATTTTTGTAATTACCTCATCACACTTCTTACAAAGAGTCTGGTCCTGTGCGTTATTCCAGTAAATGAAAAGCTGCGGTTGCAGCATGCTGTGTATCTGTGTGCAGCTGAGGGACTAATCACTGCCCTGGGCTGGAAGCGTTCTGTGCCCTGTCCCCAAAGGAAATCAAACGGCTTCAGGGGGCACCTCGGTCTGAGCAGTAACCTGCTCCCCTGACAACGGGCACCTTCCTCTCCCCCAGGACCACCCCAGCAGGCTGCAGCCTTGTCCCTCCACCCGCCCACGGCAGCGTGGCTGTGGGGGCTGCGTGCCCTTTCCCCAGTGGGGAGAGCCGGCGGGGTGAAGGGGAGCTGTGGCCCAGGCTTCCCATGCTGGGGCGGGTTTCCTGCCGTAGGGCCCGTGGCGGGGGCGGGCTGGGGGCCGAGAGCTGCGTGTGCTGTGACTGCTGGCGTGGGACTGCACCGCAGCAGTGCCCAGAGGGCGAGTGGCAGGGAAACATGGCTGCAGCCCTGTGCTGCCTGCCAGCCCTGATCACTGGCCTGGAGGGGTTGGGGGGACCGGCCGCAGCCCCCTGCTTCCTGGCTAGCTCTGCTGCTGCTCTGCCTTTCCTCGAGTCCTGCGGGGCCAGGTTGGACTAAGCAGAGTCCAGTGGGGTATTTTCCAGCCCAGAGGAGAGGGGTGGGTTGTTGAACACTGCTTGCCGCATCCTAGCGTGCTGGTTAGCATGGACTTCCCTGCCCTGCGGCTGTTCCTTCAGCCATCATCTGACCCCGGGGTTACCAAGCTCTGAGTGTGGCCCAAGGGCTCGAGGCTCCAGGCTGCTGGACCTTGTGTATTTTTCTGGGGGCATCACAGCAAAACAGTAGCCTGGAGGCTGATTCTTGTCTTGTTTCAGAAGATACAGCCTGTTGAGCTCTCAGCTGTCTGGTGTTCAAGAAATTGACAGAATTCGAGAAAATCAAACTGGGACTGCTTGTCCTTGGGCAGTTCCTCTTTGCTGGGAAGACCCTGTCTGAATCATCCTGCTCTCTTCACTCAACCTTTTTCTTATTCATACCTCATCTCTTGTCATTTCATCTGATATCAGACTCTTGCCTGTCTTCCTTTCTCACTCAAATCCATCTTTGCTTCCTCTGCATTTGACCTGGGTGGTACTTTATTCTGTGCTGATGGAGTGAAAATCCCATGAGTCCTGAAACCAGAGGAGAAATAACCTACCCTGTTTCGGTTTTAGTGTGTGGCAGCCTGGCAATCAGCTGCCTGCTGTGGGGACCATCCAGCTCACTCTCTGCAGTATATGCAAGGGAGAGAAAGCTGAAAATTTTGGCTAATAAGTAAGTCTGGCAAGCATACATAAGTTCAATCTTTTCAAAGGTTCAACACATGCCCAGATATATGTGTGTTTTTGAAGGAAGAGCAGGAAGTCCAATGGAGACACCAGCCCAGCCTCTGTGCTAAATTTAATGTCCCTGTTTCTGAAATGCGAAGAAGCTAAGACTTTCTTAATAAAAGTTTTAAAAATTCTTTGAATATAATTAAAGCTTGCATATGTTCCCCATGATCATTCTTAGAAATTACTGAGTCATTTCTGTTCTGTTTTTCCTAAAAATCAGCTGGAGGCCCACTATATGTAATCTTACACCAAAGAAAAGTTTTTGGCAAACTTGGAGTAACTGAAGATGCGGCCTTAAAATAGGAAGTGTTGACTAGCCATAACCAATGAGGTGTGGTGATGGTAATATGACAAAAATAAAACATAGTACCTACTTGCTACAGCATTAACTAAAGCTAGAAAATGCTATAATTTATTTTGTCCCTGCAGTTTTAATTCTGCTCCGTTTTTCCTGTGCGCTCACTTGGCAAGTACAGAAAGTTATGGTAAATGCTATTTCCAAGTGCATGTACACAAAGAAGAAAAACTGAGGTTTTGTGAATCATTTGACATAGAAGTGTGTGGCTGTATGCCTTCAGCATTGCTTTGGCATGTTTGT